GTGTGTGTGCATTTTTAAAATGCCATTTTTAGTCTATTGATTCTGAAAGACACCCCAGCCTTGTCTCTCCTGCCACTGCTTCTCTGCTCTGGAGAACACGAGGTGACAGGAAGCGCAGGCACTGGGTGGATGTGCTGCATGAACGGGCAGGGCCTGATGGCGGCCCCATATGATATGCTCCAGCGTGTGTTGCAGTAAGCAGGAGAGAGCTGTACAAATCCCGTCCTCGCTGTGTTTTGGGGACGTTGTTTCCTGGCCTCTTGTGGGAACTCCACCTTTCCTCTCTGGAGGGCATCTCCTGAGCTCTGTGGGGATGGGCGGGCCACCCTCAGGGCTCCTCTGTCTCCCCTGGCCCAGGACTCACTGTCCTATGAGTGCTGAGGCTCTTCCCCCGGGACCTTCTAGAGTCTCTGGCTGCTCTTTTCTGTTCTCATCAGGGTTGGTGATGAGCTATCTCCCCTACAGAACTTTTGAGGAAAGCTTCAGTCCTTTTGTTGAGAAAAACTTCTAGAGGTGATTTAGGAGACTGGAAGTGTGAGACTCCCCTTCTCGGGATGGGCCATATGATTTGTAGGGCCCAGTGCAAAATGCAAACACAGGGCCTTTGTTCAAACATCGCTGAGAATTTGAAGACAATAACAGCAGAGTGTCAAACCAGATGCCAGAGCACAGGGCCCTGCGCCACTGATGGCATGGATTGCAAGCCCTGCCTCTCTGCTTTTCCTTTTCAATCTTAAGAAGTTGTTGGCCGAGTGTGGTGGCCCACGCCTGTAATCCCAGCACTTTGGGAGACTGAGGCAGGTGGATTGCTTGAGCCCAGGAGTTCGAGACTAGCCTGGTCAACATGGCAAAACCCCATCTCTACACAGAATACGAAAAATTAGCCAGGCCTGGTGGCGGGCACCTGTGGTCCCAGCTACTTGGGAGGCTGAGGTGGGAGAATCACCTGAGCCCAAGAGGTTGAGGCTATAGTGAGCCAAGACTGCACCACTGCACTCCAGCCTGGGTGACAGAGCAAGACCCTATCTCAAAAAACAAATAAAAAGACATTGTCGAGCATTCTTTTTATGAAAATTACAGTCTGTATTTGTTGAAGAGGGCTTAAGCAAACATCATCCAGTGATTCTCAAAACTTTTGATGCTGATGCTGCAGGTGTCATTATATTCCCTATTTGCAGATGAGAAAATTAAGACTGAATGAATGTAAGTACCTGCTCCAGGTCAGACAGTTTGTCAGTGACAGCCCCCAGGCGCCATGCCAGGTTGCAGGACTTGATGCCCAGGGCCTTTTCCCTTTATAATATGGCTTCTCACTGTAGTAAGAAGTACCTGCTCATCTGGGCTGAGGACGAATTCAGTGGATGATGTACGTTTTTTTTCTGAGCTATAACACTTGTGTGGTAGGAAAGTGTAATTGACATCCCATAGCTTCTAATATCTTTTTGGCAGTGTACTGATCAGTGAGTGCTTGCCCAGAGGCTTGACAGATCCCATAACTTTAACCTAAAGTTCCAGTGTCTCTCAATGAACCTTGGTGTATAATTGGGGGAGGTATCATCACAGCAGGTGGCATTGGGTCTTAGAGATGAGGAAACTCTTGAGGGCAGCGTTTGAGACCATTTTCCACTTTCACTCGGAATAATTCCCGAGTCTGTGTGTGTTGGCTGGTGTGGCCATCATCTGAGCTACATCCATGCGAAGATGGCTGCAACACCGGCCTCAGCTTGAGTGTGTTGGCTTGAAGGCCTTCTGTCATTTGTGATAGGTCTTTGTGGTGCTGCCAGGCTTGGTGCCAAGGTCCACTGCTGACCCAGAGGCAGTGTGGTGGCCTGGAGAGGCTGTGGCTGTCAGGTGGACTTGGGCTGCAGCCTGGCCCTGCAGCTCCCCACTGTGTGGCTGTGGACAACTGATCACGCCTGTGTGGTCTGCAGTCATGCCCTCTATGGAATAGGGACATTAGAAGCTGACACGGAGGGTGGTTCTGAGGATCAAGAGAGATAATGTTTCTAAAGTCCCTGGCAGCGATTCAGTAACATTTTTGGTAGCAGTTACATGCCCTGTGCTATGTGCTGGGGATGCATTGATAAATCAGGAGTCTTTCCCGCCATGTGGGTCCATACAGTGTAGCAGAAAGAGACGAACTTGTCAATAAACGCCACCACCCGATGCTGTGTGTCCACAGATGACAGCAGGCACAGTGTGTCCCACAACAGGGAGGGCAGGGCCTGAGATGAGGGCGTTTCAGAGATGCTAATTCTTGTGCCTTCCCACTACTTCTGGGACAAAATAGTGAGGAAGGGCCACCACCGTGTGCTTTGACATGCTGAGGGTGGAAAGGGGTTATCTCCTTCTTTCAGCGAAAATCACTTTTTAGCCCGGGCGTGGTGGCTCATGCCTGTAATTCCAGTACTCTGGGAGGCCAAGGTAGGGGGATTAGTTGAGGTGAGGAGTTTGAGACCAGCCTGGTCAACATGGCGAAACCGTGTCTCTACTAAAAATACAAGAAAAATTAGCCAGGCATGGTGGTGCACACCTGTAGTCCCAGCTACTTTGGAGGCTGAGGCAGGAGACTTGCTTGAACCCGGGAGGTGGAAGTTGCAGTAAGCCGAGATCACACCACTGCACTCCAACCTGGGTACAGAGTGATACTCCGTCTCAAAAAAAAAAAAAAAAAAAAGAAAAGAAAAAAAATAAATTTTTATGTAATCAACGATTTATCTTAGATTTACCCTTTAGTAGACATGGACCATCTAAGTATACATTATTTTTTCAGTACCCCAGAAAATGATTTTTTAAATGGCTTATCATCATCATCATCATCATCATGACCATGATAGGGCAAGCAATTTCTTAATTGCCAGGCATTAGCCACTTGTTTAAAGAGAGTGACCTTCTTCATTAGTGGTGAGGAGTGGGCCGGGATGCTGACCATCAGTGGCCCCGGGCAGGCTGGGTGAGGCCGGGGGCAGGTGGCGTGGGAGCATGTTGTGCTCTGGCCACTGACTTATATGAATGAGGAGGGCGGATGAGCCCCCCGCCACTGAAGGTCCTCAGAAGCTGGTGGGCCTAGAAAGTGGGGGGCATGGAAGCTGGGATGAGCTGGGATGACATGGAAGCTGCAAGGATAAGACCTGAGTTTCCGGAGTCCTGAGAGGTGAAACAGTAGGGTGAAAAGAGAGTAGGTTTTGGAGCCAGACAGACTGGAGTTCGATTCTCAGTTCTCTTGCTTCCCAGGACCATAGGACGGGCAGGCGGGTCAGCCTGTCAGGGGGATTCTCCTTTTTTGCAGAACGGGCATAACATTTGTGTTGCTGACATAGACTGTAGCCATTCACTGCATTGTCCAGAGGCTCAGATGAGTACATGGTGGTGCAAGCATTAGGGGAGCTGTTAGCTTACCAGGTGGACGCTGTATTAATTCATGCAATGTCAACATGCCAGCTCTGGGTCAGATGTCATAGGTGTGGTGGAGTCAGTCCTCATCTCTTTGCAGGGCGCTTGGTGCAGAGTGTGTGGAAAAAGCTGTGTCTTGAGAACATGCTTATGAAAGCTCTGTGAAAGTTGAATAATTCCGGTCAACAGACTTTCTTACTGCTAGAGAAAAAGCCCTCCACCGCCCTGTTAGCCACACATGTCTGCTTGGGATGCCTCTGAGTTCAGAGGCCTGAATCCAGCAGCTTCTCTCGCTTGCTGGGTGGTTCCTGGGCCAATTTATTACCCTGTTTGGACCTTGAGTGTTTGCCTTGCAGTGATAGGGGTTATGCCTGTCTCAGGAGGTCCTTATGCTGAGTAATGAGATAACTTGTGTGGAAGCGCCTCACACCTAACACATGCCTGCCACCTGTTGATTGATTCTGAAATTCCTTCGGGTTTGCCTAAGAGAGGATTGTAAAGGGAGGAGGGGTTGATGGAAATTGGGACAGATGCTGAATTAGCTTTCTGTTGCTTTGTAACAAATGACCACAGACTCAGTAGCTTAAAACAACACAAATCTACTTCCTCATGATTTGTGTGGGCTTCGGCTGGGTCCTCTGCTCAGGGATTCACAGGACTGAAATTCAAGTGTCATCTGGGACTGTGTCCTCATCTGGAGGCTCAACTAAGGGAAGGGCCTGCTTTCACGACTCCTCAGGTGGTTCTTCATTCATTTCCCGTGGTCCCCGTTCTCTCGCCGGCTGTCTGCTGGTGCTGCTCTCAGTTCCCCGCTGTCTGCTGGTGCTGCTCTCAGCTCCTAGAGACTGCTCTTAGGCCCTTGCCATGTGGTCCCCTCCACAGGCCCTCTAGGAAAGGCCGTGGTCTCCTGTGAGGTCTCACCTGATTAGAACAAATCTGTCCAGGACAACCTTCCTTTTGATTAACTCAGAGTCAACTGATTGGGGTCCCAATCACATCTGTAAAATCTTTCCACCTTTGTTTTACAATCCAGCCTAATCATCATATTCACACTGAAAGTGGGGTTACACCGTGCATGCACACCAGGTTGTGCACACCAAGGCTGGGGGTTTTGGAGGTCATCAGAATTCTGCCCCTGCACAGGTACTGAACTGCGGTTGACCTGGGAGTGGGTGGGGAGGAGAAGCCCCCCGCCCCCCCCACAATCTTCGGGGAGTAGAGCAAATCACACTCCGTATTACTCACAAGTGACCCCAGTACCATCTTCCTGTGTTGCCAGCCTCTGGGCCCCGTGAAGCGCGGTGTGCCTTATGGCTCTGTACCAAGAACAGTGCCATCTGGACAGATGCTGGCATGAATGCAGCCTGCTGAAGGTGGTGACAAGCGCCATTCATGTGGCATCAAAGCGCCAGTGACGGCTGCCTTGCTTTGTTTCAGAGAAAGCCGGTGGAAAAAGCAGCTTTGACTCACCCATCTCAAGATGATCATAGAGCCTGCTGCCTCGTTGAGAATATAAATTGCCAGAGGAATAATTGGAAACCATGTGGAAAGTGAAAAAATGCCAACAAATACATGGATTTGTTGATGTGTGTGCGTGTATTTTCTAGATTTCCAGTGGGTTCAAGGAGATGTGTGTGAAGTTCAGCTGATGGTGTATAACCCAATGCCGTTTGAACTTCGGGTTGAAAACATGGTATGTATCACCCATCATTTGATCTTTTTGGGCTAACACACAAACTTCTCATTAAAGCAGGTTTTTACTTAATGTCTGAGGCACATATCTTATGATATGTGTCTCTTTTTATGTTTGTTTTGCCAAAGCATATAAGCTTATTGTGAATGAAGACCATGTTTCATTATTCCTGTGTCTTTAGGCTTGATTCTCAATACATATTTGAACCTACAAAGAAACCTCTGATTTGAACACATACCGAGCTTAGTTGATTGGGTATAAGATGTGAAATAATCATTTTGAAGCTTACATGAGATGAGTTGAGGTTGCAAAGTCCACGTTATGCCTGCTACTCAATGATATCAGCATTATTTTATCGCTGCAAGATGATAAGATGATCAAGGCCCCGGGGAAGAACCAGCTGTGGAATGGGAGGATAAATGACCACACCACCATCATCAGCTTTCTCTTGTTTTGAAATCCTGATATCCCGTTTCTATGCTTTGTGTAGGGTGTGAAAGATTCACTTTGTAATCTCTTCTGTTGGAAATGCTTACCCAATTCTCTAGTCAGGGGGAAGGAGATTTGTACTGGCCCTCTAAGCTGATTCTATGTTTTCAGAACAGACCCTCCCCACGCCAATGTAGGTTCCATCCCTCAAGTCTTCTCTGCCTTGCCGTGTGGCGCTGCTGTGTAACTTTTCAGCAGCACGCAAAGGATGGTGCTGCGAGAGTGGACGTTGTCTTTTAGGGTTTTATGACTGGTGTTCAGGGTAAGAGGCAGACTCTTCGTGCAGGTATTTTGCTGAGTGCTCTTGCCACGCGTCAGGCCCCAGGCAAGGCCCTGAGGGGACAGAGATGGTCAGGCCCTGGTCCCTGCTGCGACTGTGATCAAGGTTCTGTTGGGGTGCACGAGGTGTTGCAGGCCTGATGTGGAGGGGAGTCTGCCTGGCCCTGGAGAGTCAGGGAAGGGTTCCTGGGACAGATGTGACAGCATGGCCATGAGTACAGGCTGAGTTGCAGCTTGGAACTCCTGGAAGCTCCTGGAAGCTCAGCTGGATGTTCAGCTTGTAGTCTTGAGGTGCACTTGGGAGGAGTGCTTCTCCTTCCATTGGGTGAGGACTGACCCGCAGTACGCTTTGGCTTAGGCCTTTCCCGTGGCTTTCTGTCTCAGCCTTAGTAGGGAGAAGCAGTTTAGAGAATTTTCCCCAAAGCGGTTAAAGTATCAAATGCCTGCTGCTCTTTCTTACACATTTTTTTTTTTGGTCTTAAAATGTAGCTTTCATTTTTATCTGGTTTAAAAACAATATGTGCTTATTATAACAAATGAGGAAAAGCAGGGAATAAAATAAAAAGCACCACATGGAGATAGCCCACAACTCATGGGCAAAGTTTTAAAAATTAAATTAGGAAGTATTTTAAACATACCAAATGTTACAGGGAATACTACACACGCGCATATCCAACATTCACATTTAAAAAATGTTCACAGTTGGCCATATTGCTTTAGCTATTTTCAAAGGAAATAAATGCCAATATATTTGCCTAGAGACAATTGGCTCCTCGGCTTCCACCCTTGCCTGCTACATCTGTTCCACACATAGATCATTTCACACCTTGGCTCCAAGTCCAGGCACTAAGTGTACTCACTGCCGAGAGAGTGGCTTTGCTTCTGGGTGCTTTCTGTAGACAGAGTTAGGAAAAGTCTGTATGCATATACACATACATGAGAACGCACATATCTATCTAAGCCCATATGCCTACATATATGTACACATGTGTATATCCCTGCGTCTGCACCACAGACATGCATGTAGCATCTGCCCTTGCTTTCCAGCGCTTCTCCAGAGGGTGCTTGCCTTCCTCCATCCACGTGTGTCATTTCTTCCCGAGTGAGACTCGGACTCCCAGCATCAGCACATCTACTCAGATGCTCAGTCCTGTCCTATCTGAGAGAGTTGACCATACCGCTGCAGAAAACCAACCCGCTAAGAAGAATCCAGGATTTCCTCCTTCGCCCAGGGCTTCTTTATCTCTGCGGTGTTCTGTAACTGTTGTGAGACCTTGCCCGTCATTTGTTAGGTTTTTTCTAATATAGTTGATGGTTTTGATCGCTTGTTAATGATATTTTCCCCAGTTGTTTATTGCTAAACTATAGAAATAACTCCTTTTTTTTTTTTTCTGACTGTATCACTTTGCTAAATGTACTAGAAAGTTCAAGTTTCATTGTAGATTCCATAGCGTATTCTATGACCCTGGTTTTGTTTTCTGTGAGTAATTGCCTTTATGCCTTTTCTTCCTTTTTCTTGCTTTAGTGCCCTGAGTAGGACCTCTATTACAATGCTGAGAAGTCCTGAGGGCCGACATACCTGCATTGCTTCCAATCATGGGCCACCGTCTTGAGGCCAGGGAATCTGCCCGTCTTGTTCACTAGCAAGCTTAGTGCCTGTACTAGCAAGCTTAGTACATACTGAAATAAGTTGATAACTCATAGATGTATGGCAGGGATATTAACTTGTGGCATATTTCCACATTGTATTGATGGATTGATTGAGGTAGAATCTCACTCTGTCCCCCACGCTGGAGTGCAGTGGTGTGATCATTGCAACCTCAGCCTCCTGGGCTCGGGTGATCATCCCACCTCAGTCTCCCAAGTAGCTGGGGCCACAGGTGCGTGCCACCTTCCCGGCTAATTTTAAAATTTTTTTGTAGAGATGGGGTCTCACTATGTTGCCCATGTTGGTCTTGAACTCCTGGACTCAAGTGTTCTTTCCACCTTGGCCTCCCAAGTGTTGGGATTACAGGTGTGCGCCACCATGCCCAGTCAAGTTTTTATTTATTTTTGTTTATAAATAAAATATTTTCTCTTTGTGTTCACATTCCCATTTGGTAAAATGATAAAACAAATATCAAACATACAGCAAACAGGGCTAAAACCAAGTGGCTCTGTGGTTTATCGCCTGAGCACCCGCCGTGCCTACTGCGTTTAGGTGGTTTTGCATTACACTGTTCACTGTCTCTGAAGTTCTCTGTGGGTTTCTATAAAGACTGTTGGTCATTTTCTTCCAGCAGTTCCAGATGTGCCATAGCCAGTGTCTTAAGGCGCATTTGGAACTGAGCGCACAGTAGGTTTGGTCCGGGCTCATGATGCCGCGTGGCTCGTTTTAGGGGCTGCTCACCAGCGGAGTGGAGTTTGAGTCTCTCCCTGCGGCGCTTTCTCTTCCGGCTGAATCTGGTCTGTACCCAGTGACGCTCGTCGGGGTCCCGCAGACGACTGGAACGATCACTGTGAACGGTAAGGAGAGTCCCTTCGTGGTTCCCGCTCAGGAGGGTCTGCTGCACCCTTGCATGGCCTCCGTGAGGTCCAGAGCCGATCGCCCGTCCTGCCAGTCCTAACCAGTTAGAAGATAATGAAGACCGTGTTTCTTCAGGAAGCATGAAAAAAACCTGTTCGTGAGGTGCAGGATGTGTGGTGGTGGGAGGGGTCCTTCCTGTGCTCTGACCCTACTGCCCACGCCCTTCCTCCCTCTGCTCCTCTCCCTCCAGTGAGCCTTCCTTCTTCCTGCTCCTTCTTGCTGGAACTCCTCAGAGGGTGTCTACACAGGCTGAATCTCCACCTCTGCAGGGGGCTTCAACCCTCTGCATCCTGGACTCAGCCCTTTTCACTTCACCAAAACTCCTGTCACAAGAAGTATTTTTTTGGGCTAAATCCAGGGCCTACTTTTCAGTTTTTTTCCCTAAATTCGCTCCACAGTGCCCTTTGAGTCCCTGGCTGACCCTCCACTAGGCATGCCCTCTCCTCTGGCTGCTGTGAGCCCGCCCTCTGGATGCTTTACCGCCTCTCTGCTCTGGCTGCTGTGGCCCTGCCCCTCCGGATGTTTTACCGCCTCTCTGGCCTTTCTATTTGGGTCTCTCTTGTCTTCTGCAGCCCACCCCTCTCAGCCAGGCCTTCCTCACACCCCACTTCTTTCCTTCCCCACCCCTCATCCTGTGTTCCCTGGCCCTGTTAACTCTTTCTCTTCCACAGGCTACCTTAGGTGATCCCACCAATGCCCTTGACCTTCTTGTCTTCCAGTTCCTCCAATGTGCAGATGATTTCCAGGGCTGGGCTTTTTCCCAGCCTGCACCTCCAGCCCTTCCCAGCTGGCTCCTGGGCACCTCTCATACAATAGGTGTAAACCAGAACTCCCTACCTCGCCTCCCCAAAGCTGCCCCTGCCCCCGTCAAGCCTCCATCTCAGCGCAGGCATCCCCATCACCCATATGCGTCATCCTTGACCCTCGCTGTCTGTCACAGCCCCCCCACGTCCCCTCCCTCAGTGCTTCCTGAGAACTGCCACTTGTCTCCACCTCCACTGCCCCTTCCTGTCTTGCAGATCATAACTCTTCTAGGGTTTGTCAGAAAAGCATTGGGGCTGGTGTTTTTGCCCTGGTCTTGCTTGCTAATAGACCCACTTCCCATCTGTGGCCCAGCAATCTTCCTAGTGGGAATCTGCTCCTGACATCTCTCAACTAGGAGCCTCGCAGCTGTCGCCAGGCCCGTGTTATCAAGGCCTGGTCTTTAAGTGTAGCTCTGGAGCCCATTGTGGTCCGGCGCCTGCTGGCCTCCGCAACCTCCTCTCTGCCCCTCTGCTCCTACTTCAGTCTCCGAAGACTCTTTAGTTCTGGCAGTTTTCCAGGCTTTCTGAGGCTTTACCTGTGCCGCATTGAGTGCTCATCACCCTGGCTGGCTCCTGGGCTTCCCTCAGTCCTCAGCACAGGCTTCCCTTCCTCTGGGAGCCTTCTTCGGTGTGTGCTCGCTGGTCTAGGCCCCTGGTCGGTGGTCTCCTTCCTGACTGTGCGATAGATTCCTTGCTGGCCCCGTGTGTCTGGCTCAGCTGCAGCTCCATGCCTAGTGTGGAGCCTGGCACACAGTAGGTCTTCAGTGTGTGTTTGTTGGCTGGAAGAGCAAACATTTGCTGGAAGGGTGCTCCCTACGGGTGGGTGAAGCAGGTGTCATTGTAGGTGAAGGTGTGCTGCCCCAAGTGGGAAGATGGAGTGGAGTGGCCGTGGGAGCAAATGACTCTGGGCATGGACCCAGTGGGGAGAGTGGGTTGGTCAGTGACCCTGAGGCTTGAAGGTGAACTAGGAACTATTCAAATGAATGGGGCTGGGCTGTGGGGGGAGTACACAGGGGGCAGAAAGAGAATTCCAGGCAGAAAGAACAACGTGGTGGTAAGAGAGAACATGGTGCATTTGGGGGACCGGGGGATGGTCAGAGTGGGTGGTCCAGGCCAGGGTGGCAGGGATGAGACAGGCTGGAAGGGAGGCAGAGTGCCGACCTGGGGTCTTACACCCTGTGCCAAAGGATGCCGGCTTTCTCCGGAGGGCAGTGGGGCTGCTGCGTTCTTTGAAGAGAGATGTATGTGGTCGGGTGGGCCGTTCAGAGCCATCCTCAGGATCCAGGACCGCTGTTGAGATGGGAAGGACTGGAGGCAGGGACACCAGTGATCAAGCTTCAGCGATGACCCAGGAAGAAAGGGACAGAGGCAGGACCATAGGCATGGCTGGCAGTGGAGCATAGGAGATATGAATAGATGAGAGAGGAGTAATGAGGAGTGAAGGGCCTAAATCCGAATAACATGTAACCCGTAGCTAGTATGTTCACAGATGAGAAGTCAGAGCCTTAGTCACACAGTTCTTAGTTGTTTATCCTGGGTCCACACTAGGGAGTGTTCATTTTTGGCCCGCTTTGGGAACCAAGTTGAAAGGACTGACCTCGTATTATCAGACGTTGTAATGTACTATTTGTCATCAGACTTTTGGGTTTATATGGCAGTTATTTTAAGCAACGGGTAAGAAAAGGAAAATGGTTTAAATTAAGAATTGCAAAACAATGGCTGCTTAGCAGACAAAACCACGTCATACCAGGTATTATAGAAAGGACATTAGTGCCAGATGTGGTTCTGGGGAGGAGAATGTTTGCCAGTTAAAGATGTTTTTGAAGAGGTATACTTTAGAGGAAGTGTGGCTGCTCTGAATGGGAGTTACGCTGATAGGGCAGCTTCGGGCTGGCAGGAGGTGAGCGCAGGGCTGATTGAGGCTGTGTAAGGTCCCTGATTTGCCCTTGAGGGAGTGCCTGCCTCTCCTTTTAGTGTGGAATAGTTTCGTGTGAAGGCAAAAATGTTGTCACCCTAGGCATCTAGCCACGGGGTATTGTTTAATTTTGTTATAGAGTGAATGTTGTTTATAGTAATTATCTTGTGAAATTTCAAAAGCCATTTTAAAGCTTTGCTTAAACAATTTCAAGTGCTTATCTAACCAGTGAACTTTTTTTTTTTTTTTAACATGGGAAATTTGCTAATCTTAAATTATGGTGCTTATACACATACAGCACATCTGCCGTTATCAGCAGCAGCTACAATAACATTTGGCTCGTGAACTTTCATCTTTCAACAGAAGGGTTTGAAACATTTTTCAAATACTCATTAAGTCACATTATGTCCTGGGAAATAATATTAACGTTCTCGTTTTAGAGATGGATAAATCTGAAAAGCAAATGAGTAAAGGGATGAGATACTGATTATTAAGGAGACATTTATGGTTTACAAGGACCTTCACTTATATAGTCTTTCATTTGGACCCAGGCTAGCCTTGTGAAACAGGAATGCAGATGCTGTTATCCTCCCCATCACCTACAAGGCCAGTGACGGTCGCGGGGTTGAGGGCCGGAGTGTGGGTGAGCGCCGGCGGGCCCTGGGCAACTGCGGAACTCAGGTCTTCTGAGGAGGAGCCTCGTGCTCTTCGCACTGCTTCGGCCGTGGGTGTGAGACCCAAAGCCTTGCCAGTGGAGTGAAGATGCTCATTTTCTGTTCCAGGTTACCATACCACGGTCTTCGGCGTGTTCAGTGACTGTTTGCTGGATAACCTGCCGGGAATAAAAACCAGTGGCTCCACAGTCGAAGTCATTCCCGCTTTGCCAAGACTACAGATCAGCACCTCTCTGCCCAGGTAGTGTGTACGAGGGTTACAGACCAGAGTGGCTCTGAGGCATCATTGGTTTTTTTTGGTCATATATATATATTTATATATATATATATTTTTTTTTAATGGCACAAAGAGCCTGTAATTCTTATGACTAGAATATAGGTGAAGGATTTATTTAAGATAAGCAACATCAATATGCTTTGCTTAAAACGAATTAGAACAAACTTAAAATCTTTCTTACCATGATCAGAACAGAATGTGAAATTAGCCTTGGAATCATAATTCTTTTGAAAAACGAAATTAGGGAATTTAGGAATTCCCTTAAAAATATAGGGAATTTTGGCCGGGCGTGGTGGCTCATGCCTGTAATCCCAGCACTTTGGGAGGCTGAGGCGGGTGGATCATGAGGTCAGGAGATCGAGACCATCCTGGCTAACACGGTGAAACCACATCTGTACTTAAAAAAAAAAAAAAATTAGCTGGGTGTGGTGGCAGGCACCAGTAGTCCTAGCTACTTGGGAGGCTGAGGCAGAAGAATGGCGTGAACATGGGAGGCAGAGCTTGCAGTGAGCCGAGATCGTGCCACTGCACTCCAGCCTGGGTGACAGAGCGAGACTCCATCTCAAAAAAAAAAATAAGGGGGGGGGGAAATTTTAATTAAACTTTTATATTATATTATATTTTAATTAATTAATTTTTTGAGACAGAGTCCCACTCTGTTGCCCAGGCTGGAGTACAGTGTTGTGATCTCGGCTCACTGCAACCTCCACCTCCCAGGTTCAAGTGATCCTCTCACCTCAGCCTCCTAAGTAGCTGGGACTACAAGTTCCCACCACTATGTCTGGCTAATTTTTGTATTTTTTGTGGAGATGGGGTTTCACCATGTTGCCCAGGCTGGTCTCGAACTCCTGGGTTCAAACAATCCTCCCATCTTGGCCTCCTAAAGTGCTGGGATTATAGGTGTGAGCCACCGTGCTCAGCCAACTCTTATCTTCTAAGAAATAGTTTTGATCTTATTTGTTTTTTAGCATTATAGGAAAACATAAAGAAGAAAGAAAAAGAAATCTCATGAGTCCCAGAAGCAATTAGTATAAATGATTTGTTGTGATATTTCCTTCCAGTGTTTTATCCATCCTATTTAAAAATAAGTATTTGAATAGTTGAGATTACACGACATCATATATAGTATTATAGGTTGCTTTTTGCATAACCACATAATGTAAGGTTTTCTTCATGCTTTTACAAATTCTGGAGAAAATCCAATTTTAATTGCTTCAACAAAGTGTATCATAAAGATATCTCAAAATTGCATACCCATTAATTTCCTTGCTATTGGAATTTGGGATGTTCTCTGTTTTTTTTTTTTTTTTTTGACAGAGCCTTGCTCTGTTGCCCAGGCTGGAGTGCCGTGGCACAATCTTAGCTCATTGCAGCCTCCACCTCCTAGGTTCAAGCAATTCTCCTGCCTCAGCCTCCAGAGTAGCTGGGATTACAGGTACCCGCCACCATGCCCAGCTAATTTTTGTGTTTTTAGTAGAGACGGGGCTTTGCCACATTGGCCAGGCTGGTCTCAAACTCCTGATCTCAAGTGATCTGCCTGCCTCCGCCTTCCAAAGTGCTGGGATTACAGGCACGAGCTACCACGCCCAGCCTGTTCTTAATTTTTGCACTTACGAATAACACTTAACGGATACCCTTTTGGCCATTTTTATAAAACGTGTCTTGGGATTTTCTGAAATGTTTTTAAAGCCCATTCATGTGTTTAATAGGCACTTTCATTTGCCAGTTGCTGTGCTGGGTGCTAGGGCTGTAGCAGTGATCATGACAGTCCTGGTCTCTGTCCTCACGGGAAGTTCTGTCAAGCGGGGAAATTGACAAGTCGTGGAGTAATCACAGTGCACTGTCGTCAGGACTCTGATGGGGGAGGTCCCACGTGCTGGGGGAGGTCACGGACTTAGGGAAGAGTTCTTCCAGGAGGCAACACCAAGCTCAATGTGGGGGAGGGGACTGGCCAGGTACAGGGGCAGGCAGGGCGGTCTTCTGACAGAGGAAGGAGAGGTGGAGACACTGACGTATAATCGGGGAATAAAATGAAACACAGACAACATTTACTGGAAAGGGATCATAGACCTGAGTGTAAAAGCTGAAAGTATATAACTTCTAGAAGAAAATAAAGGAAAATTATCATGACCTTGAATTGGGCAGAGTTCTTTGATGTGACACCAAAAGCAGGATCCCTGGAAGAAAACGTTGCAGATTGGACTTCGTCAAAATTAAAAGCTTTTACGCTTCCAAAGACACCATTAAGAGAATGAAAGTTACAGACTGGAAGAAAATATTTGCATATTAAATATCTGATAAAGAGTTTATATTCACATTAAGAACTCTTAAAACTTAATAAAAAGAAGATGTACAACCTAATTTTAAAGATGGACAAGAAATATGAGTAGCTGTTTCACCACAAGGTATACAAATAGCTCATAAGCAACCTGGAAGGATGGTTGACATCTTTAGTCTCTGGACTGGCACCACGTGAGGCTCCAGTTCACACTGGAGGCTCAGGGGGCTCACGAGAGCAGGGCTGCAAGGTTTTGGAGACGCTGGACACCTCATGCGAGGCCGATAGGGATGCTGATGGACACCCCTTTTGAATACACATTGGCAGTTTCTTCAGAAGTTACACATAAGTTTACCATATGACCCAACAATTCCACTCCTAGGTACCTGCTCAAGACAATGGAACACATATGTTGACACAGAAACCTGTGCGCGAGTGTTCCTAGCAGCATCGTCCACAGTCAGAAAACTGGAAAGGGCCCAGATGGCCGTCAGCTGGTGAATGGTCAGCAGAATGCGGTGCGTCCCTGCAGTGGAACACCACTCTGCAATGAAGGGACCAAGGAGCACGCGCCCCAGTGCAGACCAGCCTCAGAGGCGAGTTGCTGAGTGCAAGAAGCCAGATGCGAGAGGCGCAGAGCGTGAGTCCTGTGATGTGAAACATCCAGAAAGCAGGTCTCTAGTGGCGGGACACAGCTCACTGGCTGCCTGAGGCTGCCAGTGGTGTGGGGACTAAACTGATTGGAAGTACTCCTGTGGCATCTCTTTGGGGTGCTGCAAGTGTTTTAAAATTGGGTATCAGGCTGGGCCCTGTGGCTCACGCCTGTAATCCCAGCACTTTGGGAGGCCGAGGCCGGCGGATCACCTGAGGTCAGGAGTTTGAGAGCAGCCTGGCCAACATGGTGAAACCCCATCTCTACTAAAAAAATACAAAAATTAGCTGGGCGTGATTGCAGGCGCCCGTAATCCCACCTACTTGGGAGGCTGAGGCAGGAGAATCACTTGAACCTGGGAGGCAGAGGTTGCAGAAAGCCGAGATCACACCACTGCACTCCAGCCTGGGGGATAAAGAGCGAGACTTCGTCTCAAAACAAAAACAAAACAAAATGAAACAAAAAAACACTGGGTATCAGTGATGTGTAAATTTACCAAAAATGATTGCATTGCATACTTAAGCTAGGTGGATTTTATACCTCCACACACTGTTTAGAAAGATGAATTTTGGCAAGACTTCAGTGTTGGATGGACACATGATTTCCGCTGAGCCTGCCACCAGGACTTCCCGGGCCTGGACACTTCTGAGCCCATTAGCTTGAACAGCCAGACGCGCAGACTCCCAGCTCTGGCTTTGGCTGCTGAATTCTGCCACTGCTGTCCGTAGAACTGTGGCAGCCGGTGGGCGCTAGGCTAGGAAGGACAGCAGCTTCAGCTACAGTTTCATGGCGCGTGCGTACAGGCCTGTACAGAGCACCAGCCGCCCAACAAAAGCTGGAGGTGAGCCCCAAGAGCTCATACAGGAGATCGCGGCTCTGGCTCCAGCTTAGTGAGCCCCAGCCAGCGCTCCAGCAAAAGGGCAGGGGGTGGCTTAAGGTGAAGAAATGCTAAGGGCAGCTATTACCAAAAGGGAAAAATAACTTGAGAAGAGGTACTTTAACTTTGTCATTTGTCCTGCTAATAAGGCCTCCCTGAAGGTCCCTGCCAGCTGTAAAAGGCAGTGAAGAAAGCAGGTCCTCTAGCTGCTTCTCTTTGCCCACCCCACATTTTTCTCCTGTGTTTAGAATCATTTCCAAAGATAATGCCTCTGACGCCCCATTTTTATTGTCCCGTGGATGCGCTGTGACGGGGGTGCATGCATGCTCTGGTACCTGCTACCTCTCAACAAGAAGATGTGCCGCTGTGGGCGGCCACCACGGCACTGAGCCTGGGCCCTAGGGAGGAATGTGGATCCCAGCAGGTCCTGCTGAGGACCAGGGGCTGGAGGAGAGGGTCCAGTGGAACCGATTTGGAGTTAAAATGTTTGTTTTTTATTTCTTATTTTAAAAAATTGTATATAATGTATATATTTTTCTAAGGTGACTTCCTGAAATAAAATGTGATTATTCTTTGAGTTTTGATTGTTATTAATCTAATATGAACATTCCAGTGACTTATTCATTAAATTTACTCACAAACATTTATCGACACCTACCATGTGCTTTAGGCCCTGTGCTATAGGACTAGCAATTAATAAAAAATGCAATGAATAAAAAATGCCCTCAATCTAGGCTGCTCCCCTTGTATGAGTTCACAGTCTGGAAGGAGGTACTCAGACTAACTAGAGTCGAATTTGCTGACTGGCCCTGTCATATAAAAACAAAGCAGAGGTTGACCCTGTCTTTGGGGTTCGGAAGGCTTCATAGAAGATGTGGTATTCTACTGAGCCTGACAAGACCCACAACACTTGGGCAGATAATCAAGCGTGGAAGAAAACGCAGAGGGAACAACGAGTCAACCAATCCAACAAATACAGACCGTGGTGCAGGAGAATTTGGTGCTGTGACGAAAACACAGCGGGTCAGATGAGATGAGATGTCCAGAAGAGGCAGGCCTTCAGAGACAGAAGGCAGGTCACTCTGCGAAGCAGCGTCAGATGGCGAGGCCTGCTTTGCAGGGAGCTTCTCAGGAAAGGCCTCTGCCGAGGAGACACGCAGAGGAGCAGAGCCGGTAAGCAGTGGGTGGGACGCGGCAGAGAGCATTCCAGGGTGGGAGTCAGAGGTGCCCAGATGGAGCCTGGCGGGAGTGGTGCCTTGAGCACTGACAGTGACGAGGGCCGAGGTCAGGAGCAGGTGGCCTGATGGTGTCTCCTGTGGAAATGCGTTGTCCCGCCTTCTCCATGGCCAGGCAGCCATGCAGAGACGCACTGCACAGGGTGAGGCTCACCGGGAGGCAGCCGTGAAGTGCGCAGCAGGCCACTCTGTCCCAGGCCCATTTTGATTACTGCTAGGGTGCTTTTCTGTGTCGCACAGTGGTTCAAGTTTGAGATGCTTATTTATTTGTTCAATACATACTTAGTGAGTACCTGCTGTGTGCCAGGTACCTGGCTAGGTAGGAGCTGATAATGCAGAGATAAAAATACTGTCATGGCCGGGCGCAGTGGCTCACGCCTGTAATCCTAGCACTTTGGGAGGCTGAGGCAGGCGGATCACCTGAGGTCAGGAGTTCGAGACCAGCCTGGCCAACATGGCCAAATTCCATCTCTACTAAAAATACAAAAAAATTAGCTGGGCCTGGTGGCATGAGCCTGTAATCCTAGCTACTCGGGAGGCTGAGGCAGGAGAATTGCTTGAACCTGGGAGGTGGAGGTTGCAATGAGTGGAGATTGCACCACTGCCCTCCAGCATGAGTGACAGAGCGAGACTATCTCAAAAAAAAAAAAAAAAAAAAATTGTCCCTGTCTTGAAAAAACTTTTGGTCCAGTGCAGGAGTGGGGAGGGCTAGAGCTACAGGAAGGGCAGCTGAGCCCACAGAGTGCTCGGGGGACACAGGCGTGCCAAGCTTCAGACACTGGTGATTCCCCCTTGCAGTTTCCTCTGCTGCTCAGACCCAGGGGCTGACTCATCTAACACAGACCACATATTAGGGGCCATCTCCTTAAACAAGAGAGTCTCGTTGGCATAGACCTTACTCCTACCTTCCACAGTTTGCCCATAGTCCCACATTGGAGTTTCTCTCTGCCAAGAAGCTCCTGGTCCCCATCTCCTCCTAGGAGACTGGACCTGACCTTTGCCCAACCTCTGCAGCCCCTCCCTGGGGGCCTGACCTTGGCTGGAGTGGGGTCCCTGCTGCCATCTCTTTAGTGCCATGGCCTGTTTAGGACTCACCTCCTTTTCAGTGCCAGCCTGAGTCCCACCCAAGCTCCACTGCTCGTGACAACTGGGACGCTGCAGCTGGGACCGTCAGGGCCTGTGTCAGGCCCAGGCCCTGTGACTTTCCGGTCAAGCATTGTTTTGTTTTGTCTCAAAATCCTGTTGTTTGAGACACAAAATCCTGAGTCTTGGCCATGTTTTATTTTTTTCCTGATACCTTCTCTGTAAATCCATATTGACTACAAACTTTTGCTTGAGAAAGGCTGCCTGCTAAAAGATGGGAAGAAGCCCATTATGGCAAGGACACAAATCCAATTTTCCTTCCTTGACAGAGGAAGTTTATTTCTTGACTCATGAGCATTAAAGATACTTAAATTCCAAGGAGCTCACCTTGATTTATGATGCAATTATTTCACCAAGATTTGGTTTGGACGCAGAAGCTCCTCTGTCAGAGTCTACATCTGGAAGTCCCCAGGAAACACGTGCCCAGCGCTATGAGCTTGACTTGTGTTAAGCAGCATTTCTTCCCTTGGATGGCAGAGATGTGAGTCTGGAACATTCTTTTCTGTCCTTCGGACCAAGTAGTGTGTGACACCAAGTGCTCCCATGGCATGGGAAGCAGATCCAACTCCGATCCTGTGCGCTGTGACCGGGAGCAGGGCCGGGAGGAGCTGGGCATGGGGAAGACTGCTGGAGAGTGTCTGGGGTGGGGTGGTCCGCAGTCCGCTTAGTTGACTTCATGAGCCATTTCTCGTTGCACTAAGCACACGATGTTGGCTCAAGTATGTTGGACTAATTGTGTGTCTCTGTGGAAATCCTTCAGGGACAGGAAGAAGGCAGTGGGGTACTCAGGAAACCTTCAGGCCCCAGGAGAACATGTCGGCCTCCCCGCTCTAGCCACCTCCTCTGGCTGCCCCTTTGTTTTGTGGCCAGACTTCTCCAGGGAGCCATGTGTGTGTTTAACCTCACCTGTCACGTGCCTCTATTTGTCGTCCACTGGTATTTGTCCCCATTGTGCTACCAGATATATTTTCTCTGTGATCACCAGTGACCTCCTTCCCAACCCACTGTTTGCAGCCTGTGGGGTGGGAAGGACACAACCAGGACAGTTAACGTTGTGGATTCAGCTAAAGTCAGTAGAAGTCAGGCGAGGGCTTACAGGCTGACAGCTTGAGTGCAGGAGCCTCAGGGAGGCCCTGGCCTCTGCGCTGCACATTCGTCTGGCTTGGCTGCATTGGCCTGTCCTGTAGTCCAGGGCCTCACCTGACTTGTGTGAGGATGGAGCCCCACAGATACTGCCTGACCCCAGGGCCTGGCCCAGCTGCCCTCGTGTGACACCAGGTGTTGGTGGGCATTCCTCACAGTTTGTACCTGTAGGAAGGGGTCTGTGGGACAGCTTCTCGTTTCTCTTTGACCTCAGCTCTCATGTTATCAGCTGGAATGGTTGGTATACGTTTTCCTCTTAAATCTGGATTTTCCCAAGGCACTTCTAAGCATGACATTTTTTAGATTTTGAGAGAACAATGCCCTCATGGTTTATTTGAATCAATTCATTGTTTAATTTTTATCCTCCATAACTTAGTAATTAAGTATTTTTATGCTTCACATACGCATGAGAAATGAATGCTGAGTGAGGGTGTTCATGTTTATGACACACAAAGACCTGGACGTGTCTCATGAGGAAAGCATGAGGCATGTGGCGGCTCACTTTCCATTCCTGATAGCTGGGTAGTGAACTCCATGTGTGAAGCCAAGATTTCCTAGTCTCTGTTTCTGAAATGCATGAGTATGGCGATTTTTCTGCCTGATGTGAGAAATTCTAAAATGGCCTTGGCTTCTTCCTTATTTCTTCTTTAACTTTCTTCTTATTATTTTAGATCTGCACATTCATTGCAACCTTCTTCTGGTGATGAAATATCTACTAATGTATCTGTCCAGCTTTACAATGGAGAAAGTCAGCAACTAATCATTAAGTTGGAAAATATTGGAATGGAACCACTGGAGAAACTGGAGGTCACCTCGAAAGTTCTCACCACTAAAGGTAGGTAGTAAGCAGCTTTGACCCTGGGAATGTTTGTATTGTTTACCTGTAGACGAGATACTTTAAATACTTCGTTTCCAGAGATTCTAAAAGCTTCTTTGTGGATTCAGTGAAAGTCAGTAGAAGTCAGGCGAGGGCTTACAGGCTGAGAGCTTGAGTGCAGGAGCCTCGGGGAGGCTTGGTGCCGTCATGACAGTGGGAAACCGGTTCTTCATGAAAGACACTCAGCAGCGGACAGTGGGACCAAGTACACACCTCTGTATCCCCAGTGCCCTTTCCCAGGCCTCAACATCCATCAGCTACTCAGCAGAACTATTTCTTCAATGAATGGGAGAGAAGCATTAGCAGGCCCGGAAGGAGTCTGTTTGGGATCCCACCCGTAATGCATCCAGCTCACGTAGTTTGGGGTCAGGGGACCTGTGTTGAAATTAGGACTTCACCATTTACTAGCTTAGCTATTTGCCCTTGGGGAACTGTTACTACTGTGCCTCGATTTCCTCTGGGATAAATAGGGGAGGTAGTATTTAGCACATACATTACAAGACTGAACTAGGGAGGTTGTGGTTGGCAGGACACCTGGTGTGTCAGAGGCTAGTGAGTGCATTGATCAGGGGGAGTGTATTGTATAGGAGGAGGGAAAGGTATCAAGGGTAATATGTGGAAATAAAACTGGGTAATGTAATACAGTGAGAGAAATTGTAGACTAGTGAGACCAGACAGAGGATGAAACAGGGAAAGCAAGTCAGCAGGCTTTTGGGGGTGTTTTACGTGCTTCTGACGTATGGGTGAGATGAACCAGGTGTACAATGGGAGTTTGACTGGTTCTGGTTAAGCTTCCAGTAGAGGATGTACTAATCGCACGTTACTTCCTGACAGAGGGCTCCCTCCCCATGCTAATGACATTCTAATGTGAAAAACCAACTTTATTAGGGGTAGAGCCACAGACCCTCTGGTTAGTTCCAGCTTGAGGGAAGGCCCAGGGCTGAGCTTGGGAGAATTTGCAGGCAAAGAATTATGTCATGAGAGGATGAGTTTGGAGTGTGTAAGAAAGGGTGAATTTGGGCTTGTACCACTCTGGAGAATTTCAGGGTGTCTTGTATTCCCGTATTTCTTCCACTGATTTTGACAGAAATCTGTGTCTGTAGGAAGTAAAGCAGGAAGCTTTGCATCTGCATTGTCTAACCCATTCTCCTGGTGGGTCCGTGTCTGCCCTGGAAGGAGCCTTGCCCTGGGGAGTGACCCAGGCCTGTCCTTTAGTGATTTGTGTGCGTGGTCATGGGACTGGAGCTGTGGGGCAGCTCACCTTGTGTTCTTGCTCAGGAGGGCCAGGTGTGCCTAGAGCAGGGAGTGGGGGTGGAGCAGGAACCCTGTAGCTTCTCGGTGCACATTCATTTTATTTTTTCTTGTCTTGAATCCTTCCCTTTTTGGTGGGATTTTTTTTCCTCTTTCCTTTCAGTGCTAGTCACACAACATGGAATAACAAGTATATTTTTTATTGAGCGAGGCCATAAGGGGCAAATTGTTATATGCTAAATAGTTATTAAAAATGCAAGTCTGATGTGTTCGTCTTACTACCTTGCCCCCGAGGAGTGGTTCTTGCACTCATCTAAGGCTTTGCTTCAGCCCTAAGGAGGTCACAGTGAGGTGGTCCCATCCCCTGGGAAGCCAGGGCCCAGTATAGAACCTGCTGGAAGTTGTTAACTTGGCATGGTTTCTGCACAAAGATGGCAGAAGAGTAGCATTTTTATTCTACTCTTTCTCTTGAAATCTCCCCCGAACAACAAAGTATGAAGAAACAGTGAAAATAAAACCATTCCCTGTGAAACAAGGAAATCATTTCAACCCCACGCAACAAAGCATTGGCTACAAGTGTCGTGGAAGCTGGGTTAGAGGGAGGGCGAGAGTGGAAGTGGGACTCCGGGAGGACTAAGGAAAAGCTGTTCCCCGAGAGTAGGCAACACAGCACCCAAAAGTACCCCAACAATGAAAACCAGACAGAGGGGCCTGGGCAGGCGCCTAGAGCAGTGGGAATGCAGAGGGGTTACCTTTTCTGTGCCAGGTCTTTGGCCAAGAGAGGGGAGGCCAGGGGTGGGAGGGGAAGGCGGCGGTGGATCTCACTGATCACAGAACCTGTGTGTGAAAGCCTTCACTGCAAGCCTCACCTGCATTTTCAACAATAAAAACACAGGCGGACTGCCTCTGGGATAAGGGAACTAGTGGCATAGCAGCCCAAGCCAAGCTGGATCACAGCTGTCGGGGCTGTGTCCCTCCTCATGTCATTCCAAGTCCAGGCAGGAGACAGGCCACACCGGAACAGAAAGAATCACTATGAACAATGGCCGACAAGTGCGAAGCGTTTGAGAGGCAAAGATAATTAAAGCAACAAGAGGTGTGAGGAGGGAGGCAGCTCCTGCCCTGGGCTGGGGCAGCCTGTGAAGAGGTTGGACTAGTGTGGCCTAGAAGTTGAGAAGAAGTACCCAGGAGCGGCAACTGAGACCTCAGAGGAGTGGCCTGGCTCCGGTGCTGGAGTCTCTGAGCTTGGGGCATCTGGACCTCTGGGGAGGGCACCGTCTGGCTCTGCTGTTCTGTAAAATGACGCTAAGAATGGTACCTACATCTCAGTGATTTAACTGAGAATTAAATGAGATAATATGTGTGAAGCGCTTGGGACAGTGCTTGGCGCATAAGCACTCGGATTTGTTCTCACACAAGTTACTACTTGCTGTGGTTTAGGTGTGTGTCCCCTCCACCTCTCATGTTGAAATATCATCCCCAGTGTTAGCGGGGGGCCTGGTGGGAGGTTTTGGGTCATGGGGATGGATCTCTCATGAATGGCTGGGTACTCGTCTCATGGGAATGAATGAGTTCTCACTCTGTTAGTTCTCATTAGTGCTGGTGCCTCCTCCCCTCTCCTCCCTCACTGTGTGACCTCCTGCTCCCGCTTTGCCCTCTGCCATGAATGGAAGCTTCCTCAAGCCCTCACCAGAAGCAGAGGCCAGTACCATGTTTGTATAGGATGTGGAATTGTGGGCCCAAATAAAACCTCTTCTCCCTGTAAATTAGCCAGCCTCAGGTATTCCTTTATAGCAGTGCAAAATGAACTAATGTACTGCTACTGTTGCCACTACTGCCACCACCACAACCACCAGTATCACCACTGCCACCACCACCATCACTACTACTATCATCGCCACCACCACCATCATCATCATCATCATCACCATCACCATTATCACTACCATCACTGTCACAACCATTATTACCACCACCATCACCATCACCACCACCATCATCACCACCACCATCACTACCATTGTCATTGTCACCACCACCATCACCACCACCATCACCATCACTACCACCATCACCATCACTACCACCATCACCACTACCATCACTATCACTACCATCACCATCACTACCATCACTGTCACTACCATTATCACCACCACTGTCACCATCACTACCACTATCACCATCACCACCACCATCACTATCACCATCACCACCACTAGCACCATCACCATCACTACCACTACCACTTTCATTATCACCACCACCACTGCCATCACCACCACCACCATCACTACCACTGTCATTGTCACCACCACCATCACTATCATCACCACCATCACCACCACTGTCACCATCACCATCACTACCACTATCACCATCACCATCACCACTACCATCACTACCATCACTGTCACTACCATTATCACCACCACAGTCACCATCACCACCACCATCACCATCACTACCACTATCACCATCACCATCGCTACCACTATCACCATCACCACTACCATCACTACCATCACTGTCACTACCATTATCACCACCACCGTCACCATGACTACCACTATCACCATCACTACCACTGTCACCATCACCACTACCATCACTGTCACTACCATTGTCACCATCACCATCACCATCACTACCACTCTCACCATCACCATCACTACCACTATCACCATCACCACTACCATCACTACCATCACTGTCACTACCATTATCACCATCACTACCACTATCTATCACCATCACCATCACCACCACCACCACCATCACCATCACCACCACCATCACCATCACTACCACTATCACCATCACCACCACCATCACTACAATCACTGTCACTACCTTTATCACCACCACTGTCACCATCACTACCACTTATCATCATCACCACCACCATCACCATCACTACCACTTATCACCATCATCATCACTACCCTCACTACCACTACACCACAACCACCAACTCTCTCCACTGTGACCACCAAAACCACCATCACCACTATAACCACCACAACCACCCCTGTCACCACTGCCACCACCACCACCACAAACACCACCCCAACCCCCACCACCACCACTACCACTATCAACACAACCACCACCCTCACCACTGCCACCATCACCACCATAACCACCACCACCACCACTACCATAACCACTGCCATCACTGCTACCACTACCACCATCACCATCACCATCACCATCATCGCCACCACCATAATCACTATCACCATTGCCACCACCACAATCACCTCATCATCAACACAACCACCGCCATCATCACCATCACTACTAGAACCACCACAACCACCACCATTACCACTGCCACCATCACCCCTGTCACCACCATCACTACCACCACCACCACCACCATCATTACTGCCATCCTCGGACAAGCACCATCACCATCACTGCTGCTACCACTACCACTATCACTACCACCACCACCATCACTATTGCTATTGCCACAGACACCACCGTTTTGTAGAGTTGTCATGAGGATTGAAGTTGTTCATCAGATGTCTACCCACTTCTCTGCCTAAGGCTACCACCATTCAACTTCTAATGGCATAGATTCATTTCACCTGCCTTTACTTGGTATTTGCAGTCATGTTATTCATTCTGGTGGTGAGAGTGAGGTATATAACAGTGTAGCATTGGGGTTTCAATTTGTTTTTCCCTGATGATCGGTGAAG